GACGGCGCTTCACAGTGCAGATGGACAATGACCCAAAGCATACTGCAAAAGCAACCAAAGAGTTTTTGAAGGGAAAGAAGTGGACTGTTATGCAATGGCCAAGTCAGTCACCTGACCTGAATCCGATTGAGCATGCATTTCACTTGCTGAAGACAAAACTGAAGGGAAAATGCCCCAAGAACAAGCAGGAACTGAAGACCGTTGCAGTAGAGGCCTGGCAGAGCATCACCAGGGATGAAACCCAGCGTCTGGTGATGTCTATGCGTTCCAGACTTCAGGCTGTAATTGACTGCAAATTTGCGACCAAGTATTAAAAAAGTGAAAGTTTGATTTATGATTATTATTCTGTCCCATTACTTTTGGTCCCTTAACAAATGGGAGGCACATATGCAAACTTGTAATTCCTACACCGTTCACCTGATTTGGATGTAAATACCCTCAAATTAAAGCTGACAGTCTGCAGTTAAAGCACATCTTGTTCGTTTCATTTGAAATCCATTGTGGTGGTGTATAGAGCCAAAAATGTTAGAATTGTGTCGATGTCCCAATATTTATGGACCTGACTGTATGTAAATAAGCACAAATAAAAACATCAGTGTGTTAATTTAATTCCGCAGTCTCTCAGACTGACGCACCCTGTAGCCAATCAGCAGCAGGGATTCGATGCTCGGTTTAGAGCTACCCTTGGAGCTCGAGTTTTGAGTTTGTGTTGATGCGTTTCTGATGTTGCTGTTGTGTTTTTACATTTGCTTTTGTTGTGGTTGTGGTTGTGGTTGTGGTTTAGTATTGCTGTTGTGTTTTTGGTTTTGCTGTTGTATTTTAACTTGCTCTTGTGTTTTAATTTATTGTTTGTTTGTTTTTTTGTTGCTGTTGTTGTTTTCCTGTTGTGTTTTTTTTAATTTGCTGTTGTGTTTTTGGTTTTGCTATTATGTTTTTTTTTTTTTAAATGATTTGTTCCTGTGTTTTTTATTTGCGGTTGTGTTTTTCATTTGCTGTTATGTCTTTTTTCATTTGTTTAATTTTGGTTTTGCTGTTGTGTTTTTGGTTTTTCTGTTGTGTGTGTGTGTGTTTTTATTTGTTCTTTTGGTTTTTCATTTGCTGTTGTAATTTTGGTTTTGCTGTTGTTTTTTATTTGCTGTTGTTGTTTTTTATTTGCTGTTGTGTTTTTCGTTTAGCTGTTGTGTTTTGGATTTGCTGTTGTGGTTCTGATTTTGCTGTTGTGTTTATGATCTGCTCTCGAATTTGCTGTTTGAAGTTTTATTTTGTTGTCATGTTCTCCGATTTGTTCTTGTGTTTCTGGTTTGTTAAGGTGTTTCCTGATTACGGACTACCGTAAATACCCATTGCTATATCAATTTTCATGAATGATTCATTTCCATTCTAATTTCCAGGACAGAAGTATGAAGGTGTCCGATTTAAGAGAGGCAACTGTGGTGTCAGTATAATGAGAAGTGGTCTGTCACATTTCACATTTCCACAGTTGTACCTTGATATATAAACACAAACCTGTTTTTAGCATGACCCTGTGTTATCTATCGCCCCTGAACAGGTGAAGCGATGGAGCAAGGCCTGAGGGACTGCTGCCGATCTATCCGCATCGGCAAGATTCTTATACAGAGTGATGAGGAGACGCTGAAAGCTAAAGTATACTACGCAAAGTTCCCACCGGATATTTACAGACGCAAAATCCTGCTCATGTATCCTATCCTGAGTAAGTGCTGCATGAATCCATTTCGATTGTAGACTAAAAAAAAAAAATCCATTACTCTCGTGTGCAAAAGTTTGTATCCCCCATGGGGTTTGAATGTAAAAAAGAAAGATGTACCTCTAGTTTCCATTTTATCTACAAATGAAAAATCCAAAACCTGCAACAGGTCAAGTGTATAGTACAAAATTTTAAAAATGTATAATGAAAAACGAAAAAAAAAAAAAATTCACATGCACAGTTATATTATAAATACTTTTGAACTACAGTTAAAATATGTGTGAACAGATGTTACATTTATATAATTAATAAGCATTTATTGTGAACATTTATTTGGTGTTAGAATGGGTTAAAAAAAAAAAAAAAAAGTAAGCCTTGTAGTTGCGCAGCTTACTCGGCCACAAATCTAAAGAAAATCCTACAGTTCACATTATTGAAGGTTAAGGGCTTTTCATCTCATGCTATTTCATTCAGAGTATATATTTCTAGCACATTTCCCAAGTGCTCTCGACAACTTCCCCTCACAATTTAGAAGTATGCGTCTTATACTTATGGTACGCATGGTCGGCACTTGAGCGGGAAGAGTGTAGAGCAGAACACACTTGCTCTTCGTAGGAGGAACAATGAAGATGAAATGGTTTCACTAGTGTTAATGTCCTTCAAACGACGTCCATATGAGTCATATGAGTTTGCATTCTAGCTAGCTCGCTAATTTGCTAGCGGAGTAAAGGAAGAAAGTTTTGCGCGTAACTGTTAGGCGTCTTAAATATTAAGTATTTTGATGCTCAGCTTTCAGATCACAGTGCCTTCTGTGATCTGCTTCTGCTCCTGAAGTCTACAGTCATGTTGAAACGATCCCCCAGGCTACCAAAGCTCATCTATTAACACTTCAACTGAGCTGAAGGTAGCAGAGATTCCCTCTAGGAATTAGCTAGGGCAGGTCAGCGAAGGCACAGTACCAGCTTTGGAGTGCAACGCTCGTCCTGGTCTATCCAGTGATGATCTACTGAGAACTAATCTTCACCTGTTTTCTGGGATATTCTCTCTACAACTAATATTATACATAATACTGTATTAACCTATTGCCTCCAGCCTATTCACTACTCTGCCCATCATTATCATGTATGGCAGACTGGGAAAACTCTTGTGACAATTTATTCTACTGTATATAGTTCTGAAAACTACAATTTTCCTGAACATTCTAGCAATTTTAAAGTCTAATTACCCCCAAAAGTGAAAAAGGAAAATTGCATTTAGATGCCTCACCCAACTTTACCGCTAAGCCACCATGCACTAATGTTGTTTTTCCATATGTGGATTATCTCATAAATGTAAAAGAGGATTACATGTATAACCTAATCTGCTTATGGACATTACTGTATAGCATTACTGCGTGGTGGCTTAGTGGGTAGCACGTTTGTCGAACACCTCGGGGGTTGGAGTTTTGATTCCCGCCTCTGGCCTGTGTGTGTGGAGTTTGCATGTTCTCCCATGCTTTGGGGGTTTCCTGTGAGTGCTCCAGTTTCCTCCCCCAGTCCAAAGACATGTACTGTAGATTGCCATCTCTAAATTGTCCATAGTGGCTGGTACCGTGTCCAGGGTGTCCCCTGCCTTGTGCCCCAAGTGCCCTGGTGTAGGCTCCAGGTTACCCCGTGATCCTGCATAGGATAAGTGGTACAGAAAATGGATGGATGGATGGATGGATGGATAATTTAACAGAGTTATCACTTTGAGTATCAGCATCATCCACATCGGTCTCCTTCTCATTTAAACACAAGCCTCGTCGTCATCTCTTCACTCCACTGATCTCGGTTCGGGCTAACAGTGTTGCTGGGGATAACCTGAATTAACTCAGTGAGTCTATTCTGCTGAATAATTTCTTTTTATTAGGTCATTTAAACATTTGTACAAGGTGTTTAAGCACCCTTCATTATCGTGATGATGTGACATAGCAGTCACACCAGTGTCTGATCACAAACCATATTAGGTAATTAGGTTTACGTCTCTTTCACTATGGCACACAGCTGTCCGACATCTCTAGACATCCAGGCACACTGACTGATTTCTACCATTGTGGCTCCTTTATCAACATGATCTTTACAGGGAAGGTTAGAAAGCAGCGTAATAAAAAAAAATTCAATTTCCAGGTTGTTTTGGTGAACTATTTTTATGTTTTCTCCAAGTTTTCCAGAATACAGCCATGGTGACGTCCAATGGGTTTTCCCAGGTTGCCACGGATATTTTGTCCATCATGTGCATACGCACACCTGCAATTTCCACATCACCTTCTACAACG